ATCTCTTACATAACCTCAAAGTTCCAGCAAGCAAACAACTCAAAGAAGCTTGACATTCTTCTCAAAGGTACCGATCTAAGTTTGAAAGACGGCATCCAAATAGCTTCTCTTTTTCAAAATTTCCTTATCAATACAAAACGATTCCACCAAACTGCGCCCAGCGGCGGACGACGGACCGGGCGGTGCGTGGCGCCCCCTGGGGGCGGCAGGCTATGAGTGACCCGGTGGGCGGGTGACGGGTGTGGTGCGCCGCGGCGGCGGTTTGACATTGTAAAGTGTTATTTTATTTCGTTGTTTATGTTGCATTCATGTTAAGTATTGGCTATCGTTTCTGCAGAGAGGTGCTTTAATTTAAGAATTTTATTCTTTTGCACCAATCTGATTATGCGTTTGTATCCTGTGTTCTGCTTCTATTCTTGAAAAAATAAATGTATTGTATTGTATTGTATTGTATTGTAACGCATTCAGTGCACCGACTACATGAGCAAATTCGTATCAGTGACGTCAAACGGATCCAGTTTGGCTCTCGGCCTGATGGAAGGTAATGCGCACTACAAACGGAATAGCATACAAATGTGGCGCACTTCCGTAGCAATAGAGGTGACTGAATTAAAAACTTAATATTTTATGTCTTTTTTGCATTAAATCTGCTCAAAACATTCTCAAATAACTTAACAAAAAAAGTTAAAGATAAAGTTGTCTTGCTTTGACTCATTGAGCACTTGCCTCTCTTGATTCGTCTGTAGTGCTGTCAGAAAAATGCTTCAACTGAAAGTACTTTGATATTTTCTTTTTGGTTTTCACTATATTTATTTTTGAAACCTGGACAAAATACCGACATATTTTTTAAATTATTATTTCAAAAGGAACAAATGACAAGATACCTTGTATTTTTCATTTTAAGGCTTCTTTTTGGGAAGTTATAGTTCCTGTAATACGTTTCTTGGTCCTATTCGCTTCTAAGCCTCTTTCCCTGCGGATTTTGTTCGGACCGCCGATTCGTATTAGCAGATGGATACATGAGTCGGTAGTACGCTCCTGATTCGCATTAGCGGTGAATCCGATCGTGATACGTATTTGCTTTGCTCATGTAACCGCGGATCGGATCGCCGATTCGTACAAGCAGGTGGCTACATGAGTCGGTAATGCGTTCCTAATTCGAATTAGCGGCTAAATACGTATTTACTGTGCTCATGTAACCCCGATAAATGTCTCCCTCATTTCCTAGCATCCTTCCGGCGCTGAAATGGTCTCGTCAGACCGAAAGGGCCTGGGCCCAACCCAACAAACAAAGCTCTTGTAGCGGGGTTTCGCGGCGTTGCGGGGCTAACCGGGCAGTGTCTTCTTAGATAGATAGAGAGCAAGAGAGCTCCGTCGGTGCGCTCCTAAAAGCCCTTCTCTGTATCCAGCCCCTTCGCGAACCCGTTCCGACTCTGACTCTATCTTCCGGGGCGAACAATCATCGGAAACACATAGGCCAGGGTTAAGGAATGGGAGGAGAGATAAATAATAACCCATTATCCTTGATCACGTTGACATAAGAACTCAACTCTACATAACCCAAGGTCCCACTCTCAGACAACAGCGCCCTTCCTAGCTTGAGGGTCATCTCCCACCAGATATATGTATCAATCATTCGTCCATTTATCCATCTCCTTACAACCCTGTCATTCGTCCACTTATACCTCGTAATTTACCAGAGTTGACCATCTCCGGTCCCTCCCCTTTTTCCTAACTTCCCCCGGTGGTGCTAGGGCGCGCGCAAAGTCGTTATCGAGTCATTGGCCTTAAATTTCATTTAACCGTCATCCCTTCATAACCACAATGCTCCGTACATCAGACAAACGCTTCATAATGCTCACGCTACACAATTAGAGATACGACCCACCACAGATTTCGGCACTCGACCCTCGCGTTACGTGACTTATTGCGGTCCATCCCATCACCATGTCGAACTACCTACACAAAACATAAATGTCCTTCGGCCAGCGGTTCCAAGACTACGGCTCGCAGGACACTGTGTAGTCCGGTTTCCGCGGGGGACCTATTTGAAATTTGAGACCGGGGCTGGGTAACTAAGGTCCGTCCGGGCTGCCTGCGTCGTCTCCGTATAGCCGCGGTTTTCGGGCCAGCCCCCGGCGACCGAAGGGATTAGTCGTTCGTCGGCTTTACACGAATCCATGACTACCAGTTATGCCAAATTGCCTATAAGAAAACGAAAACTAAGCGTACCACGGCCCGCGGTGGGCTTATCTTAACTTTGAAACCGGGCTGGGTAACTAGGTCCGTCCGGGCTGCCTGCATCGTCTCCGTATAGCCACGGCTTTTGAAACAGCACCGGCGACCGAACGGGTTAGCCTCCGTTGGCTTCACACAATCCACGACTACCAGCGTTATAGGTGCCCGAAGCTCATGTTAAGTATTGGCTATCGTTTCTGCTGCTGATAGTTATCCGTTGCTGGTAGTTAAGCTGTCGTCACAGACCTAACCGAAATGACCGCTGCACGGCCGGAGTAAATCAACTGACAGCGGGGTGGCCAGTACCGACTTACCGCGATCACCCGACTCGCATGCTTTGGTATTTAATGTTCACCCCCGTCCTGCAGCATCACACGTTTCTTCGCGGGACATTACTTAACCGGCGGCATACGTCTCCTCGCTGGGACGCCTGGGGTCCTAACCATCTCCGAAACTACATACCTACGTCGCTTATCGAATGTCATCCTGCGCTGATCACTCAATGGACCGATAGCGGACCTAACCTATCTTTTAAAACCGGGCGGGGTCACTAGGTCCCTCCGGGCTGCCTGCATCGTCTCCGTATAGCCACGGCTTTATGGGGCCCGCGCCGGCAACCGAACGGATTAGCCTTCGTCGGCTATGCACTCATCCTCAATAATCGATCCTCAATTCGCTCTCACCCTTTCTCTTCACTTCGCGACTTACACTGTACGAGGGGGTATCGAAAAGTTCTGATCATCACCATGAATCAGATGTGATAGAAATTTGATTTTTTTACATGATGTTCATTACTCCTTCACAAGTCACCACACACGACCGCAAACTTATTGCATCGTTTCTTCAGCTGCCTCAGGCGGTCATTGTAGGACCTTCGCACTGTCCCGTAAATCACTGCTCCACCTCATCAATGACGTCATTTCTGTCCTTAAATCACCGGCCAAACTGTGGATTCTTCATCTCCCGTAACAATCAAGAGTCAGTTAATACCCGGTCAGGTGAATTTGTTAGATGCGGTAGGATTTAATGTCCATATCATGTTGTTTCTTCAATCGTAGCTTAGGACGAATGGGCGGGGGTGCTGTCGGTGAGGATAAAACATCTTTCTTGGGCTTTTTTGCGGCGATTCTGCTCGAGGCCATCTCGCAACTTCTTCAAAAGTGTGCAGAAGTGCTTGCTAATCATTATCCGACCATCATCAAGACAGTCGGTAATGACTATCCTACGCCAGATCCAGAACACTGATAGCATTGACCTTCCATATCGGCTTCTGCATCTTCGCCTTTTAATAAGGACAGATGTGCCGTGCTTCAACTTCTTGATCATCTTTTTGTCTCTGGATCATACACATAGACCCAGCATTCGTCACAAGCCATCAAACGATCGAAGATGTCTTCAATTTCCTAAAAAAGGCCTAGTTTTCGTTTCAAAAGGCCAAGACGCATTTTTCTATTGAACAAAGTAGACACCCGAACTTCTAAGCGGGCTGACTCCCTTATCGTCTGTAGTTCTTCGCTGATAATATTTTCAGGCACTGCCAGCATCGAGACCTTTCTGTTGCACAATCATGTGAAAGGTCACACGACGATCTGTAAGGGTGAGGTCCTCCACTTCCTTCACAGTCATCACCTTGTCAGTCACTGGTAGTCACTCACTTCTTGACTCCCCTGCAAGGGCCATGCAACCAAGTTGAAAATTATTTCTTCGTTTTCGGTAAGTGCATGAGATGGGCTTTTCTCGCCATAAACTAATTTCACGTTCTTGAAGTATTTTCTCAGTGTGATACCGTTTCAAATGCATTAGTTGGATGACGGTTCGGTCCTCAATGGGCCCAATACTCATCTTTTTTACTTCTTAGTCTCTCCTACATAAGATAAAACCACTTTTCAGGATTTTCTTTGCGGGAACATTGTTCTTGAGAACCAAATAAAATACCAACCAAAAATCATCAAAATCGGTCTATATCTTCTATGTGATGATCAGAACTTTTCGATACCCCCTCGTATTGCACGTATCCAGGGCTTACCCAAGCCATGGATTACCTACTACCTGGATCGGCAACTCCGCGGAATTCCCATTGTATTGCGCGACCGCCCGAAAGTGCTGCCACCTATCGAGCAGACTGATCCCTGCTAAGGACAGCCCGCCGCCGCCGCCCAGTCAGGCAGCGGCCAATACCAGCAAAGTCCGAAAATGACCGGCAAGTTACATGGCCTGAACCAGCCGCGGCTAAGTTTGGCATAGGCCAACAGTGTCGGGTTCCGGAAGAGCGGTCCAGGGCGGTTCCATAGACTACACTGAGAAACACATTTTAGAACTTATACTGATAGTACTCACCTGAGTACCTTCGATGGTTTCCATTTTGCCGCTTTGAGGAATTGGTCTTTCCCGAGAACTGTGCATGGTCTCCACTTCGGTTTCAGGAGTGGATTTGGTCTTGACCGAGATAGTTTAGTACTGGAAGTTGTCTAGCTACCCGTGTAACGCAAACAGTCGGTCTGCGGTGAGATTCGAACCAGCAGTCATTCGGTCAGAAAGGATGGTAAACTTCTCACTTTTTTCCTTATAGTTCTCGCAGCTGACGTGTTTTGACGACAGATGTCAGCACAGAAGGAAACTAAAGGCGTAGGTGGCGCTGTGTTAAGAGTAGAGCAGTTTGAAGTGCTGCCGATTCCATTTTCGCTTAGGAAAATAGCAATTATTGATATAAAACATGTATTTTTCAGTAGAAGAAATAATTTTTAATGAAAAAGAGCCTTACTATATGACACGATGTTGATCGATTTTAACAGTTCAAACCAATTCAAATGGATATCCCTAAGGAGCATCTCTATAATGCCTCAGTGCTTCCGGTCCTTCCTTTCTCGAAAGCACTGCGAAGGCTGCCGGCAGCGTGGTTGTTCCTTTCGCGAGTTGGTGTCTGGCGCACAGCGCGAACGTCTCATGGTGAGTTTGTTTTCTGTATTCTTTGTGTGCACTTAACAGCTTGAAAGTAACCACAGCAAAGGTAATTACTTACTCTGGGAGGTGGCAAAATCTGTGTGCCATTGCCCATTTTTGGGATATAGGTTGCGATTGCCATCTATTTGCCAGTGTTAGCAAAATCTGCGTAAATACCAATTCGTGTGCTTTGAGGATATGGCTCAGAAATTAAGCGTTTCTGCCGTTTCTCTAATATTTGTCTTACTCTCCCTTTCAGAGCAAGAAGCCGTAGAGACGATGCTCTCAATGTTGGACACCGAAGTGAGGCAACTCATCGGGCACAACGCCAAAATGTCCCTGTTGTGTCCTGGCCCTGGGTCACGCGTGTCGCGCCTTGACAGCCGTGACCTTGAACGACCTTGACCGGCCGGGCCGGGCCGAGCGGCCGAGGGTCAGTATCGTCCGAGCGGCGCTGGTGTCAACACAGCTGAGTGCCGCGAGGTGAGGTGAGGCGTGTTCGCCGAGACGGTCCGGCCACAGTGAAATAGTGAAATAGTGGTGTAATCGATAATATGCGTGGCCAGTACGCGAGTGAGATTGACCCTGTGCGCGACACCGATTCAGAGACGCACATAAGTTAACACCGTCGTGTCGGATCGCTCGTACCGGTGATGGGAGACAACGAGCAGCTGGAGCGTCTGATGGCGCTCATGGTTCAGCAGTCAGCAGGCTGCCATGCTGGAGTAGCTCCTCCCCAGCCAGATGCAGCTACCAGTTGCGCAAACTGTCTAGAGCGGCCAACCGGCTGTCGTCGCCTCCGCCGCTCCTATGGCTAGACTTCGGTCTCACATGGACTGCCGTCGGTAGTGTTCACATGCCAGCCCATACATTTTACCTGTATTAACTTTTTAATGTCTGTGCCTGTGTAACTATTGTACGTGCCTGTACTTAACAGTGTTTGAATTGTACATCGTTCGCACAGTCTGTGGACCGCATGGGGAACGCCGCTTGACATGCATTTTTGCACTTACCTGCATTCCGTGTTAAAAGTAAAGTAAAGGGACTGAGCTGTCGTGCACCGGGAGATATTATGGTCTCTTGCTAAACGACACAGTTGAAACTCAGCACGCTGGTCGGTACTGACTGGGGCGGCAAGCGAAAGGGTTTGGGCAGCTTTTGAAACAAAATGTTCGCATCGAATGACTGCATCGCATGTTCTGTTCCAGAGTGAGTTTTTTGACATCTGACACAATAAATATACATGCCTGTTCTTTACCTTGTTTGTGCATGGAGGGAATGGGAAGGATCGAGAACGCGGATGCTGTGCCATGAAAAGCTGGCGCTCTACAGGGGGGGGGGGAGAGGGGGGAATGGGTCGTGAGCGCGAATGCCGTGCCAGGAAAGCCGGCGCTCTTGAGTTGTAAAGTTCTCGGAGACCATACAGGATCATATTATGAGCGGGAATTGTGTTCGTTTATGATCTTCTGACCTGGTAAAGGTTCTCATGGGAGATCATCCCGCAGTATAAGAGTACCTTATCCGGGCAAAGTTCTCGTTCAAGATAGCACACCATTCTCACTCGAGAACGTTACGGGAAAAACCTGAGAACTTTACCAAACTGGAGACCAACAACTGTAAACAAAGTTCTCCCCAATTGAGGCTCTCATACAAGACCAGAACGACCCCTGCATGGTCTCTGAGAACCATGGATAGGCTTGAGTGTTTCTCAGTGTATGTATCGTTTTGGAAAGAATGGTGTGGTGGGTCGTTTACCGAGCGCGACTGGCCGATTTTACCTCAGCACGTCGTATTGTTAGCTCTCATGGCCAGGCCAGGCGCCTTCTGCCAGCTGCCTGAAAATACCTTCGATCAAACGACTTTGTCTATCACTCGGGTTGCCCCTGATCAGCTTGAGCATTCCAACTCAGTCGTCGGTAGACCGCAGAGGAAATGTGCCGTCCGCCGTGAAACATCCAAATCATTGCTACAGCCATTTTGACTGACTTATAAAGATCAAGACAAATGCTGTCATATCGATTAACGAATATCTGCACCACTGACAATTTCTATCAAGAAGCATTCCAGGATTATAAGCTTACCATACACCGTTTCGTTAAAAAACTGTTTCCATATTGAACTTATATTTGCCGTCGCATGAGCGAATTGCCTTTTGAGTACAGGCTGAAACCGATTCTTTCCGCAGTCAGAAATCATGTGCGAGACCGAGAGCCTATTCAAATAAACCCCGGTCGCACTCGCATCCATAACACGCACCTCCTTGCGTGCGATTGATGCTATTGCAACTTAATGGATTTGAATAGGTTCTCGTGTGCGATTTCCTGACTGTGGAAATAGTCTGTCTCGGCCTGAAGTTCAGAATTTAACACAGGTTCAATGACAACTAAGGTGAACGATGACACACAATGTATACAATGCATATTATTGCATAGACTGATAGGTAGGTTTCGAGAAACGACGTGCCACATGCCTACTAAACGGTGTCGTAGCACCAAGCTGGTTTCCAATTCACACCTTCCACCAGAGTATATCGGGAATAAATGCAAACACGATGCACACGAACGCATTATCCGCTCAATGGGTATGCCCGTAGTGGGTATGTTAGTCAGTTACAAACGCTGTAATACCTTAAACATTTTCGGCCGAGCCAGTTCACAGTTCACACCCCGGCTGCCTGCTGCCGTCACGTCACACGTGTCCGCAGTGGGCGTGCACCTGCGAGTGCGTGCATCATAATTCACATCACAAATCACAGGATGCCAATTCAAGTCAGCACACCGTGGAAACTGAACCCATCTCTTTGATCTGAAACGAAGAGTGAGAGAGGGAAATTAGATACCTGAGCATACCGTAATGAAATGGAGAGTGAGGGCATTCCAAGGCAAACTGTTTCCCCACAACATCACAAAAAGTATTTTACATTGCGATGATGTTGGCAAAAAATAAAATAAATAATACCTTGACAAGATACTCCAAAACAAAAGTACCCAAAAGCTTAACACCTTATCTGCTAGGCTTACATAGTTTAAAATGGCTTTATCTTACTTAAATCTATCTGCTATCTACACACAGTTTGGCTAGCACTCGTTCTAAAAAGGTGATTGTTATATATCATTCAATAGAGGGAAACTCACAAACTTCTTCGTACTACTCTGGACCTTTTGGCTTTGAGAAAAGAAGGAAGCTGATGTCAGGGACCAGGGTCGGCACTCTTTTGTCATTTGTGGTTGACAATGGCACTGGCTGCCATTAGGCTTTCTTTTTACTGTCAAATGGTTCAGTTTTTCAGGCTGAGAACATGATTTATGATGACCTCGAGGTCACGTGATCTGAGGTCAACCTTTGACCTTGACCTTTCGAGGTCAACATATATATCATTCGATGCGGATTGACGACACATTTAATGTGTTTTTTTATTCAATATCATTCAACTATTTATGAAATCAGGGCATTGGCAAGCAGGTTATAAAAATTAGCTGAAATGACATGATGCCAGTCAACTGCTCCTAGTGTGTTGCACTCTAGTCAGCCGTTCAGAGAAATACGTAGGAAACTGATATGGGTGAGCAGTGAGTCTGAACAGTGAGCAATTGACCAATTTATAGGTAGGTATTGGCACTACACAATATAAAACAGAAACCATTTTCAATAGTTGAACAAATATTGAGTTAAAAAATAATGGCACACTAACTGATTTTGCTAAACTAAAAACTTAACAAAAACTTAAGCAATTAACAACTAACAATGCATCATCCACCACCTATCATGCGCTGCCAAGACCGAAATTGTATCACAAGCAAAACCATGGCTATATCAGCGGCATGTATAAGCTTGAGATATGATGTGTCAAACATATAACAAACATATAAAAACATAAAATTAAACATATAAATAAGTGATTAACCATTCAATTACGGAAATTATACGATTTTTAACGACATATGGCGAGAAGCAATGTGCGCCAGTATCGTCAACAGCCGCTTACAGTCATATTTTAGGCCACTCAGACCCTCCAACCACAAAAAAAAACCTTACCAATCTTACCTTGCCATCTTCCTCCATCTTCTGAAACCTTCCAATCTGCTCCAAAGGGGCTTAACTTTTCAAAAAACAAGGCAAACGATCCTACGACGCGACGCCGACCATTGTTTTGAATAGCACCCGCTCCCCCGCGTCCTTAGCGCTCGACACCACTGCCACCTAGCGGTGGTCACAAACATCGAGGAGTTGCCGATCCAGGTACTACTTCATCCATGCCCAAGCGAGGCCTACTATTTAAGTGGGGTCTATCCGAGCTGAACTTCATTCAGTAAATCCGATTCCTCTACGTGTACAGTCTTCTTCCATTTCACTCGCTTCTCATCTCCCTCCTAACCCGTAGCCGCGTCGGTGACTTTCCACGCACAGGGGCGTGACGTGCATTATCTGTCCCCTCTGAGACCCTTATTCATCTTAGGTGCGGGTTGACTTTAGTGGGGATGATTTACTGAGACTCTAGCTCGAACTAACAACTCGTCTTTCTCGTTCTCGTCCTCCACCGTCACCCCTTTTTTCAAAGTTAAGCCACCGACCAGTGCGGACCAGGCTGAGCGGAAACTCCTTAATTGAGGCCGTCCTGGGTTGGAAAATGGGAACGTATGACCCGGCCAGTGCTGACCTGACGAGGATAAGCAGCTCCTGTGCGGGCGCTGTTAGGCAGGAGGATGAACAGCTCCTGTGCGGGCGCTGCGTTGGTCTTAGGACAGGAGGATAAGCAACGCCTGTGCGGGCGCCGCGTTTGTTAGGCAGGATGATAAACAGCTCCTGTGCGGGCGCTGCGTTGGTCTTAGGACAGGAGGATAAGCAACGCCTGTGCGGGCGCCGCGTTTGTTAGGCAGGATGATAAACAGCTCCTGTGCGGGCGCTGCGTTGGTCTTAGGACAGGAGGATAAGCAACGCCTGTGCGGGCGCCGCGTTTGTTAGGCAGGATTATAAACAGCTCCTGTGCGGGCGCTGCGTTGGTCTTAGGACAGGAGGATAAGCAACGCCTGTGCGGGCGCCGCGTTTGTTAGGCAGGATGATAAACAGCTCCTGTGCGGGCGCTGCGTTGGTCTTAGGACAGGAGGATAAGCAACGCCTGTGCGGGCGCCGCGTTTGTTAGGCAGGATGATAAACAGCTCCTGTGCGGGCGCTGCGTTGGTCTTAGGACAGGAGGATAAGCAACGCCTGTGCGGGCGCCGCGTTTGTTAGGCAGGATGATAAACAGCTCCTGTGCGGGCGCTGCGTTGGTCTTAGGACAGGAGGATAAGCAACGCCTGTGCGGGCGCCGCGTTTGTTAGGCAGGATGATAAACAGCTCCTGTGCGGGCGCTGCGTTGGTCTTAGGACAGGAGGATAAGTAACGCCTGTGCGGGCGCTGCGTTTTCTTAAGGCAGGGAATAACCGGCCAGCACTGACCAGACGACAACAAGGGGTGGAATCGGTTCAGATGTTTGAGGCCAGCCTGGCCACTGTCGTGGCCTCCGAGATTAGAAAAATTGGGCCCACCCCTTGACTGACCCCAACTGAGCCGATCACTAACGGCTGTGACGACGGATTCCACCCCCCCCCCCCCCGTTTGGTGGTATCGGGCCCCACGGGCTCGATAAACTACCTGGGCCTTATCGGATTTGGATGTCCCTTGAGAACCCGGCAGACAGGAAGAACTGTTCTGTTACCAAATACTATGGCGAATTGTATACCTCGAAACCACTTCCTCCCCCGCAACGACTCCCTCTTCGGCTGTGTAGATGGCATATGGTCTGTGACATTTTACTCTCCGGTCCTTTTCTTTCACCACTCCTTACACTCGTATTACAATATTTACAAGTCACATTTATTTACATTCTTGCTGACACAATACTTTCAAATCCTGTACCTGCCAAATTTTAAAGAAAACGTTCTGGGACCCGGCCGTCCAGCAACTGAGTTTCACACGCCGCACGGTGCGGTGCACAGTCGCCCGTCCCTTTCCCGACTCCACACGGAGCATAATCCCCTCCATCCGTCTTAATCACCACAAGGCGCCGGACGAGGGTCCACTCCACGTCGGCACGCGTCTCGCACCACGCCCACAGTTAAATAATTGACCGAAATCGGATTGTTAATTTAAGCTACCTAGACTGAAGGTTCCCAAAATAAATTGAACTACCTAAACTGAATGGCCTAAATTATTGCGCAACGACACCTAAAAAGGGGAATATAATGTGGCTCACATAGCAGTAACGAGGGGGGGTAC